ATGAAGATGAACAGGAACATTATTGGGGTCAACTACTACTTGCTCAAAGAAAGTCCATGATCATCTTTTGAACTTTCCTGCCTTCACCGCCTCTCAATAAACAGCCGTAGTTTCCTCACTCATGATGCTGGTGCTTAAAGCGTGTTCTCACTTAGCATCAAAGGGAGGGAAAGCAGCAAAATTTATTGGAAATTTACTCGCTTCACCGCTTAAGTGGCTGGAAAAACGCACTACAATGTCGTCTCGAAAAAAATCAGTCACACGGGAGAATTCAAGCGAAAATAACAGAGCTGCCGCGAAACTGCGCCCGCGGCCACCGAATATTGTTCACATTCGTTCTGCCTACTGCCGCAGCTTTCGCCACTTCAGAATTTATTCAATTTTGCTCATTTCGTACCGAGTTCTAGTCGTACAGAGTTCTAGTTATGCATGCAAACTACTCAAAAGAAACAGTTTATAATGATACAAACATTTGGGAGATACGCCAGCAGAAATGACACGAGCGAATGAACCGGCAGCGGCGGCGACGAATTCAGTCGGCAGTACAAAAGCGAGTGAGACACGTTAGGGCATGCCGACTCGTTGGTGCTGCACCTTCTTCTACTTACAGTGTTCCTAGCGATTGTAATCCAAACTAGGCTCTTGATGAACGCGTCCTTCTCAAAGCCGTGAGCTTTGTCGTGCTGCGCGGGTTGTTCGCGATTGCACTGACGCGAGCCACTGCTGACGCCTTTGCCGCCATGTTAAATTTGTAGCTTGGTGTTTACATCACGGGGTTTGAGAACTAGTGCAGTGGGTATAGCCGAAGCCGTGAAGCAAATAGGCGATCTGCTATCGCGTTCCTGAAAAATTGGTCTCAGAACTTTATTGAAACTTTATTGAAAACTTTATTGAAAGAACTTTATTGAAAGGTCCTTTATTAAGACCTTTATTATTCCACTTATTTTCCTTTATTATTCCACTTTATTATTCCACTTTATTATTCCACTTATTATTCCACTAGGGCAGATTTTTTTGTGTCAGCCTCGCGGTGTGGTTTACCGGCTGCTTAGGCGGCGAAGCGGGGGAATGCTTCTGAGTTATGCTGCGTTGCACCATTCGCGTGAAACGGTCGATCGCACGTTTGTAGTATCCGCAGTGGCTGGGGAACCCATTCGTAATGCACCGAATTATGGCGTATTTTGTATAATGTAGTCTATCCGAAGGAACCGTAAAATTTGTATCATCGCGAAATTTGCATTAATCGTAATCGTACCGAGATTTTACCATAGCTATTATTTTTGTATATAGTTTGTGGAGAATGGACAATAAGCTGATCAGCCTTCAATTTTTCAAGTCCTTGACGGCTCTTTTCTTATGGATTAAAATGATGTTGGCATTCTTCCAAGATTCTGCTACCCTTTTCGTCAAGAGACACTTTGTATATGAGGTGGCCAGTTTTTTTAATACAATTTCTCCGCCATTGTTCGGGCGGTCCGTTGTTACCTTATGCTCACCAGCAGCTTTGCGTTTTTGCATTCCTTTTATGGCTTTCCTTACAGACCCAGTCATTACGGGTCGTTCCAATTGTGTGGTTCTAAGTAAATGATTATCATCCTCTCTATAACATGCACTGCATGTAAGCTACTTAAACGTCTAATTAGCAAATATTTGGTCCAGTAGGCAGAAGGAAATCTTTTTGATTCCAAGCAACATGGTTTTCGTAAATGCTTATCAACAGTTACACAACTTTTTGAGACAATACAGTATTTCGCAAATGCTATAAACCAGAAAGAACAAGTTGTTATGATTGCCTTAGATTTTTCTAAGGCGTTTGATAAAGTCTGCCACGTGAAACTAATACGAAAACTGAAAAAATATGGCATATGCCCCATGGTTATAAATATATAGAGGCGTATTTGTGTAATAGGTGTCAATTTGTGGAAATCACCGACAAATACTCGGCTTGCTTGCCTCTCACTTCTGGGGTGCCCCAAGGTTCTGTAATAAGACCCCTGTTATTTCTGCTTTATGGCAATAACATTGCTGCTCATGTAGATCCACAAATTGAAGCTAGCCTCTTTCAGACGACTGTTTGTTATTTTGCCGTTTTAAGGATACCTATGAACAATTATTGTTAAATGAATCAATAAACAAAATTTACAATTGGTGTGTAACATATGTCATGCAAATTAACTTTGAAAAATTAGTATGCATGAGTATTACAACAAAGCAATCACTGTCACAATTTACCTACACAATTGGGAGTACGAAAACTTAACAAGCAATGAAGATGAAGTACTTAAGTGTGACTATCATGCATAACTTAAGTCGAAGTGAGCATGCTGCCACATTCAACATTTGTGGATTAGCTCAGCGAAAGCTGGGAATGCTGTGACGCTAATTAATACTGGCATCTCCTGATGTAAAGCTTAAAGCTTACTTTACGGTTGTTTGACCCACTCTGGAGTGCGCGGGTATAGTGTGGAACCCGTACCAATTAACTCTAATAAATTAGATCGAACGAGTGCAGTGTCTTGCAGCACGCTTTATTTTTTTCAAGTGCAAAAGAACTGAATCGGTCACTGAATTGATTAACAAGGCAGATGTTCCAAGTTCAGCTTCACGCAGAAAAATAGCCAGACTAAAATTTTTTAATCAACTGTATCATGGTATGCTAAACATCGATCCCAGAATCTACTTGCGACCTCCAGGCAGAGTATCAGCTCGATCCTCTCACCCATACGTTGTGTGACCCTATGTATCTAGAGATGATGTCTGCAAGCATTCTTTCTTGGTGAAAATGATTGAAGACTGGAATACACTAAGCCCGTGAATATTTAATGGTGTGATTTGGCTCAGGAGTTTTGACGAAAAACTGCAGTCATTGGGTGTTTAATATCAAAATTCTTATTATGTATTACTGGCAGTGCTGTTGTTTTGTATAAATTTTTTACGTGCTGTGTATGCATGTGTGTTTTTTTGTTTTTTAGTTTGCATTTTGCTATTCGTGCTATGTTGTTTATATATATTCTTATGCTGTTTGCATCTATTTTTTTTTTTTGTATTGCAAACGGTCCCACCCTGTAGGGCTAACCAGTAAGGCTAACCGCATTTGAGATTGAAAAAAAGTAAAATAAGTTACTGGTAGGTTGTCAAATTCCTCTGGAATGTTATTGTTTCTCACAAAATCATCTTGGTTGTTTTGGCTTCTGTACAGCTCTCTGTAGAACTTGTGTGCTACCTCGACTATCCTATTCATATTGGTTATGTCATTGCCTTCTTGGTTGCTTAATGCACACACCCAATTTGCGCATATGCACAAGTTCGCCTTCGTAGTTTTTAGGCTTTTGCCGCTTTTTACTGCCTGCTCAATTCTCTTCCATGTTATACTTTCTGACGTCGGCTACCTCACGCCTATTGATTAACTTCAAAATCTCTTCTAGCTCTCTTTTTTCAGTTGCGTTTGAGGCTTTCATGGTTTGTCGCCTCCTAATAAGATCTTTCACCTTCTGAGATAGTTTGCCAGGGTCCTGTCTAGTGACTGTACTTCCAACTTCCATCGCACACTCTTTGATGATACTACTAAGATTATCGTTCATTTTGTCAACATCGGTTACCTCTTTTAGTGCCTCGTATGTATTCTGAAACGAAACTCTGAATTCTTGCACTTTCTCTCTCACCGCTATTTCATTAATGGACTTTTTGCCTATCAGTTTTTGTTTTTGCAGTTTTTAACTCTAGGTGAATACAAGCTGTAACTATTGTATGGTCACTGCATTGGATATTGTCAACTACTTCTTATCCTGTACAATGCCTGGGTGCGCTCACAGAATGAAGTCTTTTTCAAGTTTAGTTTCGCCTGTTAGGACTTCATCACGTCCTCTTACGGTTGGCCCATTTTCTGAAGAAGGTATTCAAGATCAGTAAATTATTACTGTTCTGTGAACTCTACTAATAACTACACTCTGTCATTTCTAGAGCCGATGCCATAATCCCCCACTGCATGGTCTTCGGCCTGTTTTTTGTTAATTTTGGCATCAATGTCCCCCGTCAGAATAGTATACTGTGTTTTTACCTTAGACTTTATGCCTGCATAGAAGCGTTCAACCAAATGATTATCATGGCTAGATGTAGGCACGTAGGCCTGTACCACCTTCATATTGTACCTTTTGTTAAACTTAATTATGATACCTACCACCTTCTCACTGATGCTGCAGTATCTTTCTATGTTGCCAGCGATATTTTTTTAAATAAGAAACCCTACCCCTAATTTTCTTCTCTCAACTAATCCACGGTAGCCTAGGACATGTCCAATTTTCAGCACTGTATAAGCTCCTAACTTCGCTGAGCCCTAATACATCCCAATCAACGCCCTCTAGTTCCTTGAATAGCATAACTACACTAGCGTCACTAGATAGCGTTGTACCGTTGAAGGTAGCAAAGTTCAGATTCCAGGTTATAGCAGTACAGCCATGTCATGAATTGCCTGTCCCAACTCGGCTCTCTGCTACGTCTCTGACCCACTTGAGTTCCCTTTTAATCGGTATATATTCTTGCATATTCTTCTTGGAAGCTCATGCATGTGGTAATATTCCTGTTCAAGGTCTGCTCATGTCTTCCAAGTCATGTACATTTAACCAGGATGTGCTTGGTTTTTGTCAGGGTCCTTAGCAAGTTGCACAAGAACCCAACAAGGCTTGAGGTGAGTCTGCCTTGCCACATTCATGCATCTCTTTGTATGAGCAATAACTCGCTCTGCTGCTGAGCATGCAAATGTAAATAAAGGATGAATCTGCAGGTACAGTTGATCAACCAATTTGCTGTGACAGCCTCTTTTTTTATTTGTTAGTTTAAATGACACAGCAGTGACACGGCTGAGTTTAAGTGAACACAGTGCAGTTGTCAGCTGCACAACAAAAGTCAGCGCATAGCATGAAAAATTTTTCCAGCAGTACTGGTGAACGTCACTGTGCTACTTTTGCCGTTCCCACAGCCTTTGTCAGCTGTGAGAGAGCCATCAGAACAAGCTCAGTCAAGTCACATGACTGAACAGGACTGGCAGTATGTGGTGCAAGCTGGGAGAAGGAAGCACTTTACATGGGAGACTGTTGGAAGGCAAGTGCATACTGCTCTAAAGCTGTTTGTGTCTGCTACTATTGCGATGGCTTGGGCCAGGCTAACACCACACAGGCCATCTCGGGACTGAACCAGCATTTTTCATGTAATGCTCGATTGACATCATCAGAGTTATCGCCTCCCTCGCTGCAAAAGTTTTTCAAATCTGTCAAGTACGAGCAGACTTGCATGGAGGTTTGTTATACGGTTTAAGTGCTCGCTCCTTTTTTTTTTGTCCCGACTAGTGAGGTGGGGCTGAAGGTTTGACAGAGGAGGAAAGAAGCTTATGTCACGTGCGCATCATGAAACACAATTGCTCTCCCCCGGTGTTAATCACGTGTGCATTGTCTGTCGCCTGACTTATGGCAGTATGGCAATGTAACCCATCCGGTTCAAAAGCCGTTGTCTGTTTGTGTCAGCTTTCATCTGATAACAGCAATCTGTTGTGAAACGGCCCTCCGAAGAGAGTGTATGGGCGTCTGTATGAAGAAAGGGCTCTCAAGAAAGTGGTAACTTCGCACTTCTCATGTGAACTGTCGTTGCCACTTACGAGTTGCTGAGCTGCCAAATCTTCAGTGGAACCTCGATTATACGAGTTTGACAGGACCACACAATACTGTCACATAATTCGGGCATCGTATAATCGAAAAACTAAGAATACAGACAGTGACACTCAGCCTTCCACGAAAATGGGTGCAGATGGAATCGAGTTCGTCTACGGCTGCTATACGCCATAAATATTATATATCCCATGAAGGGCATTCTGACACTTCACCTCTCTGCAGGGCGCGAAGTGTTACAAATCTTGGCGGACGAGATCATGACTGCCCAGTGCATGCATTTCTCTTGCATGCTCAAAATGCTCACACCTGGTGAGGGCCCCTTGAGGTGTTCACAGACAAAGAAGAAATTGACCCTGTGCGATTGAACCTTGTTAATACGAGGCTAAAAGACCCTTTAAGTGATGTGGCTGTTTGCTGATGTGCTGTGCTTCTTAGCTATGCCTAAAGAAAGGAACAAAATAGCACATTTATTCGACAACGGACACTTAGCTTAACATGCTGGGCAATAAAAGGAGAGATCGTGTTTTGCGAACCGTGCCGGAAAAAAATTTCACGGCTATGTTGAACTATTGGCACCTTAGTACCATCATAACTAAAACATTTCTTTAGCTTTCTTATCGTAGACAGAGGTCACACATAAATTTTTTTGAAAGTATGCAGTTTTAAAAAATTTATTGTGCCTATGTTAATAATTTTGGGGGTATAAAACCACAATTTGCCTGCCTATTTTTGGCACCTAGAATAAGATTTTTAGTGCCTATAAATTCGGCCTCTAGTCATCACCTGGTGCTCCTTCTTGCTTTTTTTTTTTTCTTCCCAGGGCACATTTTTTTTCCTTTCGGTGTGAGCGTGCGTGCGAGCATGGGGGAGTATTTTGTGGCGGCCACAATAACTGTGCTGTTTGCCATGCTCATGAGTGAATGGGGGTTTATGGTTGGGAAATTTCGGCTTATGGCATTATTGGTAGAGATGAGGAGGAAAGATTTTTTGTTAACCTCGAGAATCAATTGTAAATATTGTGTCTGATGCTTTGCTGTAATGTCTGGTTTGCGGGTGCTCTGGGGCCTTGACTACAGATTCTTATCGTGAGCCCTTTTAAAGAGAAAATGGTAAAGCTGCCTGTAATCTTTTTGAAACATGGTTATATATTTAAAAAGTGCTGCATTGTAGTCTTTCCTGATAAATAGCGTAGAATTTTCTCTGCAAAATGTATGGGAAGCCCTTTAAAAGCACTGTGATGGCCCACAGTGTGAGGAGTTTGTTGGAGCATCCGTTTGTGACCTGAGGCAGGAGAGCGTGAATGGGAAGCTGTGTGCCAGCATAGGATGCTCAGCTTGGCTGCCTTGACTGGAGTCCAGCCATCTGCCCCGCTGGGACACCAGGAACTGGTCCACAAGGCACTGCTGCTGCTGGCTGGAATTCCATCAGACATTTTCCGATACGATCCAGTGAGTTTTCACGCTGCTTTCAGCGCTTATTTTCACAAAGTTTATTTCGGGGGTGCTTGCCAAGGGTTGGATTGAGAGAGAGACGACGAGAGAGGTGCAGTTGTGGCAAGACACTTTCTTTATGTTACCAAACTAGTCGACAAACAGTAATTTAACACTCGAAATTCACTCCCCAAAATGAAACATGTACACAATAATCGGCTATACACTGAAACTGGAATTGATAGACATCCAAGACAAGTTATTTCTTAAGCCTAAACTGTCCCTAACCAAAATGGCGTCTCAGTGGCTGCTCTCATACGCTCTCGCAATAATTGAACATTCTTACTGTTCATATGCCACCCTCAGAGCTATGACGAAGTGGTACCGCCTCGCCATCATCATCGTCGGCATGTGTCCGCTTGACGATCCACTCGTCTGGATTGCCGGTTCCTCAGTCCTTGTCTCTATTTTCAGCCCCTCGCTAGGCCCCGTTCATAAAGGACTCTCCCGCTGATGCGGCCACTCGGCTGACTGGTGTTGGCTGCTCCCTTCCTAATGTGATGTGGGAAAGCTGCAAGTCCACCAGGAGCTGCTGGGCAAGATGCGGCAAGTCCGGGCAGGCTCACTCGGGACCATCTCCAAGGTCAACAGCCACTTCTTGAGCTCTTCGTGCCGACATCCTCAAAATTTGGTGGTCATGCTGCTTCCGTCACGGTAGTGAAGCTCGTTTCCTACGTTTTCAGGGCTCGGCGTCTCAATGCACAGTGCCAGCTCATCCCCTGGAATTTTTCTTCTCGGCTCGAGTCGCGTGCCACGAGGCTTTGTCCGACCCAGCACTTGCGTCTATGGGGCTGGTGCGCGCGCTCGGTTGACTTTCCTCTCCTCGTGCACCACCACTGTTCCTCCGCATTCAGCACAGGTCTGGTGCCTCTTCTATACTCATGGCACTTATTCTTCATCTTTTTTGGCTCACTGTTCTTCATTGCATGTTTTAGGACACCTTTTGAATATTTTGATACTGCCAAGAAAGGCCCAGGCAGCACTGTATCACTGTATAATCATGAATAAATTAGTGAGATGTGCATTAGCTTATTGCATTGAAGTTACTTTTCCCAGGCAATTCAGTATGAGCCCCCATACAAGTTGCTCCATTTGTGCAGACGCACGATTGTCATGTATCCTCACATTTTTTACTGTGGTGTTTTGCATGCCAGTGTGAGAGGCATTATTGTTTCTGCGGTAGAGCTACCTAGTGGTGAGGTTCTGTGGATGAACTGCTTTCTTATATTCTTCTGATTGGGATCGAATTTGTGTGCTTACTGAAGTGCCTTTTCCGTAACCTCCACTCCCCCGTGTTTGCGAGGCTTTATTAACAAAAAAATAACTTGGATTTTTTACAGAGGCTAATGTCAATTGCTTTATATCCTGGCTCGGTGAGTTTGGCATTGTAACACGACGTCAGCAATTAATTAGGCCATAGGCATGAAGCCAATGACCGAGCATGGCTTCCTCACGTGTCATCAGCCTGGGTAGAACAGGGGCTAGCAGTGTTGCGAAATGGGCGCCTCCACTCCATTCCAATTCAATTCCAGGGAATCAGTACTCGCCGAAATTACATTCCTTTCGACTTCTCAGAACGAAAAAACTTAGGCCGATTCCCACTTAGCCAAGTCCGAGTGGCTACTCTCCAATCTACGTGGCAGCACGATAGCTCACAGTTTGTTGAACCAGCGGCTCGAGGAGGCGACAGTCCACGTACAGCGACGGCCTTTGTCGGTAGCGAGCTCAAGCACGCAGGTGGCACGTCCCGCGTGCGGTCTCAGCAGGAGACAAGACCTCCGTCAGGCCTCACGTTTGTAGATGGCTTTCAGCCATCTGAGGTGGCGGTGGCGATCAGAAACCCATCGTCCCTGTAGCACATGCTGACGTAGCAAGAGTCGTGCGTGGTGTTGGTAGTCCCGGACAGGTACTTCTGCTCCCGGACCTCATTCCCCAGGGAACAGATAGGAGGAGCTCCACGGACAGCGCACTGGTCCGGCGTTTCCCAGCTGGAGCCACCGTCAGGACCACCAGGCGAGCATTAGGCCCTCTGTAAGCATAGCCATGAAACCTCTAAGGACAGCACTCTGGTACGGCGTGTCCTTCGGCGAAGTATAGCTCGGCTCTCTGCCGTTCCGCACGCACCTCTCTTCTTTTTTTTTCTTTTTCCCTCTTGTACCACCGCCTCATGTGACACTTGTCGCTGGCTTGTCTTCTTGTCACTGTACTTCTCTTCCTCGGGCCCCCACACAAACATTCCCCAATTCCACCAAAGTTTACATGCGTTTACGCCACACATAGTTCGAGCATGCATTACAACTGGAGGCTAGGGTGCTCTTCTGCTGACCGAAAGGTTGCAGGTTCGATCCCGGACGTGGTGGTTTTTATGGAAGCAAAATGATAGAGGCCCTTGTGCTGTGCAATGTCAGTGCACGTAAAATTTACGGAGCTCTTCACTACGGCGTCCTTCATAATCATAGCGTGATTTTTGATATCTGGAGCCCCAGATATTATTATTACATTTGTCCACATGTCAGTGGGATAAGGAAGTGCGGTAAATGTGCGGCCAAAACCACAGAGCTGTTTCATAGGACTTATCAATGAAGTGGCATAGAGTCGCCCATGCGAAAGATTACGTAATTTTGTGAACGAGTAGAACTTAGCTGAAGAACAATGCAGAAATGGTTTTTCCAAATAACGCACATGCATAGCATGCAGCTCTTTGATATTCACAAAATGTGGTTGCTGTAGCTCTCTGCACAAATTAACAGGCTTGTTTGGTAAATCTAAAAAAAATGTTGAAGCTTGATGCTTGGCCTTTAATCAGCATGTGGCTTTCATTACATTGCTACGCAGCTGACATATCAGGGGTCAGAAGACGACAACGAGGAAGTGGTCTGTCGGTTGTGCGTGCTGTCCTCCATCTTAGTCGACACCATACGCATCAGTTTGAATATAGATTTTAAATAGACACTGCCTCGTGTCATTTTTACGTAACATCTTTGTGGTGGACGTGCTGGGTACTTCCCCGTCTTCATCACGAAGCCCCGCAACGGCCGCATCATCATAGGTCCAACCATGTCACAGGTTGAACAACCATTGTCTTCACCACATGCCCCTTCCGTGACTTCTACATACGCCGTTCTACCTCCTGCTCGTGATCCCGGTGTATTTTCCAGTCAGGATGGCGTTGACTTCGACAAATGGATCAACCAGTACGACCGGGTCAGCGTAAGCTATAGGTGGGACCCGACTCTTACGCTTGCCAATGTGTTTTTTACCTCGATGGCCCACCGCGAGTGTGGTTCGAGACGCACGAAGCGGAGATTACAAACTGGGACTCCTTTAAAGAGAAGATCCGCGACCTTTTTGGCGACACCGTTGGGCGGCAGATCACAGCGTGCAATCAACTGGAGGCTTGTGCACAGACGTCGACGGAGTTGTACGTCACGTACATTCACGACGTCATCGCCCTATGCCACCAGATTGACGAGCACATGAGTGAGTCTGAGAAAGTGGCCCATGGGCTGAAAGGCATAGCAGACGACGCATTTAATCTTCTAGTTTACAACAACGTTGCCACCCTCGATGCCATCATTAAAGAGTGCGGGCGGTTCGAAGAAGCCAAGAGCCGCCGTATTACTCAGCGATTCACCCGGCTGCCCAACATGCAACATGGCCACAACCTGATCATGTGAAGCCGCCCGCCAGTCCCCCACGTATGACAACGTCACACGCATTGTTCGTCGGGAAATCGAAGCTGCCTGTCCGGCTCCTCTTCAGCCACCCATTTTTGCAACGCTCGCCTCTGACCAACAACAGCTGTCAGTGGCGTTAATACAAGCTGTGGTGAGGCAGGAGTTTGCGAACCTCGGCCTTCCATCAACATGTCCCTTGACTCGCCCTGAAAACTCCTGTCTTACTCCCGAGGACACGCTCGCCGTTCACCTCCAACAATGCCCTTCCGTAACCCTTCGGAATGGCGAACACCCGACGGCCAGCCTATTCGTTTTTCCTGCCATCAGCCTGGGCACGTTTCTCGCTATTGCCGCCGCCGTTGGTCAAACCAACCACGTCAGACTTTCTCTGCCTCGGCGCTCATGCATCCGACGACCCCTCGTTGTTCAGTCGCCGCACCCTTCAATTTCTATTCGTCGTCATCTTACGAGCCTTCCACTGACGCCCCTTTGCCCAGTCACCGCTACCCTGACGCCCCTTCGTCTCCGGTCGCCGCAGCTCTCGCTCCCCGTCGCCGCTACGTCGCCGATCCCGCTCTCCGCCACCTCGGCGCTTTTCCTTGCCGAGCTTCTCTGGACAACCGCAGCAGGAAAACTAGATATTGCAGCTTATAGAGGTGAAGCTGCAATACCAATGACGGCCGAAAATCCTCTACTGATGCTTCCCATGCACCACAGCCTGCTTGAAGTACAAGTCGACCATGTTTCTGTGACCACCCTCATTGACACAGGTGCGCACCTTTCTATTATGAGCGCTTCTCTACGCTGCTGCTTACAAAAGATTATGACGCCATCTACGACGCAGGCAATAGGTGTTGCCGATGGCGGTACTGTACCAGTAATCGGAATGTGCACTGCTCGTGTCAGCATTGCCGGTCATCACGCTGTGGTCCTTTTTGCCGTGCTAGCTTGCTGCCCTCATGACCTCATACTTGGCCTTGATTTCCTTTCGGCACACTCGGCCTTAATTGATTGTTCGTCTGGTACCCTCAGCCTTGATCTTCCAGTCTTTGCCGACTACTCTGCAAAGCCCACCAGCCGCTTGAGCCCAACCACTTTCGTTCGCCTGCCACCTTGAGCCGTCACGTATGTGTCTTTGTCATTGACCCCTCCCGTTCCTGACGCTGATTATATCGTTACGCCAATTACTGACGTTCGGCTGACGCACAGTGTTATTGTGCCCTATACCATCGCGACCATTGCGGATAACTGTGTGTTACTTCCGCTCCTTAATTTGCTTTC